CTGCCTCAGCCTGCCCAGTGATGGGATTACAGGCATGTGCCACCATGCCTGGCTCTTGTGTATATTCTAAGAAAAAGATTTTATAATCTTAGTACTATCACCTTCAGAAATTTGTTGTTACTATGATACTATTAGCTAATAGACATTCACATTCAGTTTAACAGTAGGACTGTCATTATTCTTCTTTATCCAGGATCTCTTAGATCACACATTACTTTTGTGGTTTTTTTTTTTTTAGACAGGGCTTGCTATGTACTTCAGGCTGACTTTGAACTCACTTTGTAGCCCAGCTTGGCCTTGAACTTGCAGGGATCCTCCTGCCTTAGCCTTTCAGTGATAGGTTTTTTTGTTGTTGTTGTTTTGTTTAAGTGATAGGTTTTTTTTTTAAATCATAAATTGTTTCTTTACTTTTATCTTTTCTAGTATGGAGACTTGCAGAGTACACATGAGCGTTTTTTTCTCCCACTTTGGGTCTGTCTAATATATCTTCAAGTTACAATAGGTTATATGCTTTTGGCAAATGTTTCCAACCAGTTTGTGGCTTGTCTTTTCATATTCTTTTGTTTTTGTTTTTTTCCCCGGTACCGGGAATTGAACTCATGACCTCACACTTGCCAGGCAGGTGCTGTGCTGCTGAGCTAAATCCCAGGCCCCCCATATTCTTCGTAGTACCTTTCACAGAGCACAAGCTTTTAATTTTAATGAAGTCTAAATGCAAAATTGATATGTTGTGCCCCATGTACATAACTCTTATGTATCTCTCCCCCAACCCCTGATAATGACCATCCTGTTTTCTGTAAATTTAGCATTTTTATTTTTTCATTTTCACTAGACTTCATTCCATCCATTGCTTCATGAAAATATGACAATTTTAGCTTATACATGTAACTACAGTTGTAAAGTACTTTAATTTTAATAGTTGGAAACACAAGTTTAGTGACAAGTATTTAACAAGCACCCATTTTAATCACTAAACTGTGAATTCAGCATTATTATATCGGATTAACTGTACAAACTTTGCAGTTTTTCTTTTGACAAGGACTAGGAATCCCAACGAACAAGGGAGAAACTACTAAATAAAGGTCCTGTTTGCCAACCTAGCCCCATAATTCCAGTCTTTGAGTCTCACATGGGAGATGTGAGGAGCTGCAGTTGTGAAGGATAGTTCTTGACTTGGAGCCCGTTTTTGCTCCGAGGCAGTGTAGTCCAGCAAAGAGGAAAACCGCTGCTGTTGGAGACAACGCAGAAGCTGTGGGAGCAGGTCAGGGAGCCGCGGACCGGAGAGCAGTGTGTGTGGAACTCAGTGCTGCTGCAGCCTCGGGAGCTAGGGGGTTTCTTCTTGGATTCCAGGTCCTTTCTAATCTCCAAGTTTTTAGCCAGGTTTGGTCTGTTACGGTTCTGAGCCAGGCACCTTCCCACAATGTTGGCAAAAGTAAACCTGAGCAGGACCTGGAGTGTGTTGTCCGGGGAGAGCTGCAAGGCGCTTCTGCTGCCTTCCACGCCAGAGCGGGCCAGCACTTTAGTTCTTGCGTCCGGCTTTTTTACTTGGCACACTGGTCTTTGGGTTCATCTGTGTTGTCACAGATAACAGGACTCCCTACTTTTTTGTGAGCCATAGTTCTTTTGTTTTTTTTTTTTTTTTGGTACCGGGAATTGAACTCAGGACCTTGTGCTTGCCAGGCAGTCACTTGTGCTGCTGAGCTATATTTCTGGCCCAGATTTCCTACTTTTTAAAGGCTAACTAATATTCCAGTATATATATACACCACTTCTTTGATTTTTTTTTTTTTTTTTTTTTTTAAATCTGTCACCACTTAAGCTGTTTCCATTTCTTGGCGCATAGGGATAATGCTGCAGGGAACATAGGAGTGCAGATACCTTTTTCAGATACTGATTTCATAGTATGCATCTTGAAGTAGAATTGCTGAACATATGGGACTTCTATTTTAAGTTTTTGAGAAACTGCCATACTATTTTCCATAGGCAATGCCAATTCATATTCCTACCAACAATGTGTAAGGCTATTTGTGGTTTGGGATTACATAAAACTTCTTAAAGTTATAGTCTATTTTTAAATCATAACTAATTGCATAGAAATGCTACATCTGTTTATTCCTACCACCTTATATTGTCACAAATTACATGTTTTTATGTTTTGCATCAACCGATACAGCAGACTGGTATGGTGGCATATGCCTGTAATCCTGGCACTCAGGAGGCTGAGGCAGGAGGATCAATGCAAATTTGAGGCCAGCCTGGGCTACAAAGTGAGTTCAAGGCCAGCCTGAACTGCATAGTGAAACCCTGTCTCAAAAAGACAAAAACAAAACAACTGACATAGCTTTACAGTTATTTTATGCTTTTATCTTTTATCCAGCAGAAGAATTAAAAGTCATTTATTCATTGCTTGTGTAGTATGTTTATAAATTTCAGAATTCTCATTATATAATGTGCTTCCATGTTGTCTAACATCTGTGTACCTCTTTCAGCCTGCTGGACTCCAGCATTTCTTGTAAAGTCACTAGTAATGATGAGCTCCTTCAGCTTTTCTTTTCTTTTTTTTTTTAGTATGGGGAATAGAACTCAGGACCAAGTCCCACTGAGCTATATCCCTGGCCCTCCCTCAGCTTTTAAAATCTGGGATTATTTGTATTTTCCTTCAGCTTTGCTGAATATGGTGTTCATGGTTGGCACTTTTTCCTTTCATTATGTTGAATATATCATCATATTCCCTGTTGTCCTATAAGGTTTCTGCTTAGATATCCACTGATAATTTGATGGGAGCCCACTTGCATACAGAGAAGACTTTCTCTTGCTGGTTTCAAGATTCTGTTATTGACTTTTTTTTGGAGCGGTGGGGGCGGGGGTACCAGGAATTGAAATCAGGACCTTGCACTTGCCAGGCAGGCATTTGTGCTGATGAGCTACGTTCCTGGCTTCTTTCATTGACTTTGACAGGTTTATTATAGGATGTCTCAATGTGGACATCAGTGGGTTAATCCTAGTTGGCGGTGTTTATTGAGCTTAAATTAGGATGTCCATTTTCTACCTCAGATTTGGGAATTTGGGGACATTATTTCTTCAAATAAGCTTTCTGTCTCATTGTCTCATTCTTCTGAGATTTCCATAATAATTTTATTGGTCTACTTGATTGATAATGTCCCATAACTTTCTCAGACTCTCTTCAGTTTAAATTTTTTATTTGTATGATTTGAAATGATCTGCTTTCAAGTACATTAACTCTTCTGCTTGATGAAATCTGCTGCTTTACTGCTCTAGTAAATTTTGTAGTTCAGTGGTTGTATATATATATATATTTTGTCTTTTTGAGATAGGGTTTCACTGTGTAGTTCAGGCTGGCTTTGAGCTCACAATGATCCTCCTGCCTCAACCTCCCGAATGCGTGTGCC